GTTTGTTTCGGAGCTCCTGCACTGGGCACATAAAGTCCGTGGAGTAGCTGCTCTGCCGCGTGCCCGCACACCAGCCGCTTGCAACGCTCCGATGGGAACGTTTGCAAAGCACTTCACCTTCTGGCAGTTGTCCTGGTTGAGAGAAGTGTGTGTTGTCAACCTGTGAGACTCTGGGCAGTGTGACGCTGCCTTTCAGGAGGAGAACTGGGGAGACCTGCAGCGTATGGAGTCTGTGTCTTGGAATGCTGGTGGTACAGCGGTGCTGTGACCCCAGCCTGAGGCTGGAGACACGTGCAGTGCTGGATGCTGTCCCTGTGTGTAGTTCTGACCTGCAAAGGTGAGGCAGGAGAAGGAAGATGAAATTGTTTAAGTGTCAAGGTGAAATTGATGACTAAACGGTGAGAAATGCCCAGGTATCCCTCATCTTAGGTAAGATCTCATTCTGTGGTCTGCAGGTAGAGCGGAGATGTGAATTTAAAGAGTGGCTGGAAAAAAAGCCTGTTCATGCTAATAGAAATACCTCAAGGCATTTATGAAACTTTAACCTTCCTCTTATCTTCCCTGTGACCATTTTAATGTGGTTTCTGTTTCTCCTTCTAGATCTAGTTGCTGAGGCTCTGCAAAATGTCTTTGCGCTTCCGTAATATCATCCTATATGCCATCCCTGGAGCGCTGGCACTCCTTGGCTGCTGGTGGATGTATTCCCGTAGAAAAAAGCCTACAAGCTCTCCTGACGAGCAAGCAGTAGGCATTGAAGAGCAGCAACAGGAAAAAGTCCCAGAGAATGATTCGGCACCCGAAACAGAAGCATGTGTTGCTCAGACACTCCCATCGGCATCGAGGACACTGACACAGGAGTCTTTGGGAATCACAGAGGAGATCAGCAATGCAGAGCAGTCAGATGATTCTTCGTTTAAGCCCCCTAAGGAAAGCCAGATGCCAGAAATTGTGCTGTCACTGACTCTGTGACAGCCCTTTGTTTGGGATTGGAGAAGGAAGCCAATACCCCACAAGCCTTTCTCAATGATGAAGCTGAAGGTGTATCAAGTCACAAGAATTCTGCAGTGAGCGTGCTACCAGATAGTTTGGAGTCTGCCTGTTTGGAGCAGTCCAGGGAAGAAGAGATGTCCGAGTCCATTGCTAGCACTGTACCTTTGTGTCAGGAGGAGGACACACAGCCAAAAGGAGGTGAACTGGAAAGAGAGAAGATTGGAGGAGTGAGTTTAGACAAGGAAGACGCTGAGGCAATAGAGCAAGTAGCAATACAGATAATTTCCAAGGTCATTTTGGCGGCAACTGAGGAAGCACTGTCTGGTGCTTCAAGTGATGTCTCCACTTGGATCTGCCAGGCCGCTGCCGGCCGAGTCGAGACACCTCTGGAGATGGTCAGCACTGTTTCCTCGGATCAGATGCTCACGGAGGAAGCTACGGGAGCGGATGAGAACGCTGCCGCGACGAGCGATGCTGCGGTACCGACATCGCTGCGGACTGAGGAAGGGGATCAGAGTGTGGCAGATCCCAGCTGTTTAACACACAGCCCCTTATCCGGCCCTGTTCAGGGAGACACAAAAGACTGTCGGATGAAGAGCCGTGTGTGCAGGGAGTCCCAAGTAGTTGATCAGACTCCTGTGGAAAACCATGGAGGGTCACTGCAAAAATTGCCTTTGGTTACGGAGGACTCTGAGTACAGCACATATGTGTCAGAAGGTGGGGAAAATGTGGAGGACCTATTGCAAAACACAATGCTGTCCCTTGCATCAGGCCAGCATTCGGACTCACTGAGCACATCTGCAGCTCAAGGCATGTCTGCTGAGCAGAGCTCAGCACCAAGTGCAAAACCTCCTACTCTGAAGCTGTCTGGAGGCAGCGAAGTGCCATACAGTAATGGGATACTGAAAGAGGATGGTCCAGACTTGCACCATGAGTGTAGCAGGGCAGCAGGGATGGGTGAAGATCACTCGGATGGTAAGGGATTTGAAAATCCTCCTCCAAAACCATGATGAACAAGCATTTTGTGTTGTATCCCATGCTGGATTGTGCATGTCTTGTAGGTTCGGATGTAAATTGCATGGAGTTCGTGGACAGTGGCTGTGCCATGAGGAAGACAGTGACTCGTCAGAACTCTAAGCTGGGAGGAGAATCCAACAAGTCTGACGTCGTTATCTGGGAAATCAAGGTCCCAAAGGTAACCAGCCACTGTCCTGCTTGCGCATCCTGCCCTGCCCTACCTAGCCATCTTCTGGCTCTTCCAGTGTGCTGCTGGCTCAATGCCATCTCAGGGAGATCAACGGCAAATCAACAAGGATTTGAGCATTTAGCTCCTATTAGGACTCAACAAGAATGAAGAGCTGGTACACAACTGTAAACAAGAGGCATGTCAGGGCTATGCCCAGGGTAATGTTGGTTGTTGGACTCGTTATTCCCCCTTCTCTTCCACTCCAATCTGTTAGTCTGATGCTTTGAAAGCATTCAGAAGGCTTTGAGGGTACACAACTATTAAGAGCAGGTGATGAATGTTTTTTTTTCTTTCTGCTGTGTAGAAGGGTTATGCTTCAACTGCCTGTCCAAACCCTTCCTCGCAAGCTGAATGCTCATCTGAGCTGTTCTGTGGAGCTGCTGTGTCTGTCTCTATAGCGAGCTTTCT